GTGCGTGGTGTGTGTGTGTGTGTGTGTGTGTGTGTTTGTGTGTGGTGTGTGTGTGTGTGTGTGTGTGTGTGTGTGGTGTGTGTGTGTGTGTGTGTGTGTGTGTGCGTGCGTGCGTGCGTGCATGCGTGCGTGCGTGCGTGCGTGTGTGTGTGTGTCTGTGTGTGTGTGTAATGTGTGTCTCAAATCGGCAACATATCAATCGAATACGAAACGCTGTTTTGCCTTCAACATGGGCGTGCTGCGCCGGTGTCGCATTGTCGCACATATGTATCCACGGCGCGCGTCCCGTCGCGCCGCTGCAGGCGCCGCCTGCTTGACGGGCTGCACTCGTCACTCTACAGCCTGTGTGTGGTACGGGGGTAGCGTACGACCCGCAGTCTGCAGCTCTGTTAGAGACCTGTAGCACAGAGGGTGATGGCCCAGTTATCAACGCTTGTGAATAAACTAAAGATTGGCGTAGTTTGAGGCGGCAGAGTTTAAGCCTGCTTGACGGTGTGGTCAATTTTTAGAGCCCATCTTACAGTACGAGCGACGCTTAATCTCAACTAACGAGCCTCGAACCAATGTCGGCCGTTGTGAATGTATTGGTAGCAACTACATGTATATCCAGCTACTTGGAGATTAGACTCCATCGCCCCAGCGCAGAGACCGACCAGCTTTCGAGCAATAATGTGCCAATATGCTCAAATGTGCCTGATGATAAATTCTAGCACGCTTCAGGCCCGACTCAGAATCGATAGTAGGCTAAGTCGCAAACCGATGCTAACGACGAGGCATTTCAAATAGCACCCGACCGCTATCATAAGTACCATAAGACCATACCGCTACCATAAGGCTCAGCATCCGGTCCAACTGCAGGACGACAACAGCGCGGGCACCCAATGGCAACCGTTAACCAAGTATACCGTGTGTTGCTAGGCACTAGCAAGAAATGGTCATGCGTGAATTCGTTTAAAGATAGATGTCGCAATACTGCATTTCTGTCAAGTGCCAGCACGCAGGCAGGTCAAATGACAAAATATTACATCAAATGCCGCACCTCCGACCAGACACGTAGCTGGAGCCCAAGACATCAGATCGTACGCACGGCACGATCACATGATTCCACAAGCATGAGAGTCCAATGGGATCCTGGATCACTCTCGGAATCCAGGCACGAGTCTATTTCAATACGCTTGGTGGGCGGTGCCGGTAGAGCAGCGTTTAAGCTGCGTGTCTGGCAAACGATAGGTACGCAGATCGCGTTCCTGTTGTGCCTACCCGTCCTGCAAAGATGTTAGGCAGGCGAGCTCATGGCTCCCTGCTGACTGACGCGCTTTACAGCATCACCTAAACTAAAACCAATTTGTCTATACATACCTCAAAACTGACATCGGGTAACTCCTCGACGGTGGGCAGTCCCCGGCGTCGATCTCGGTCGAGTGTCGTTCTCCCACTGTTATGAAGAAGAGGGTTTTTTGCACGCGACGCACCAGTTTCTTTTGGCATGCATGCAGACAGTAGGTTTGCATGCGACAGCAAATACTGAACGTGCCAGCGAAAGCTCGTGTGACATCGTGTGATGCTTGAATACAGTTGCTGTTAGATCATCGCGTGGTCTGAGGAATCCGATCCGAGGCTAGGTTACGGATCTGGCGGACACATCTGGAGCGGTCCATCGAAATACAACAGCGAAAGGGACAATCCAACCCTTTCAGAACCCCGCAAAACCTAATAACTCCCGCCAGTTTGTGCGTACACAGTGGTGGTATCAGTAGCAGCCCTGATCAGTACCGAGTAAGTAAAAAGCATGACATGCATACTACCTGAAAATGCCGGTCAGCGAGTCGCCATCTATCTCGGTGGCAGCGTCCTCCATGTCCATGCCGATCCCGGGCAGTCTACTGCAGGACGGTCTGCAGCCAAGTAGTTCCTCGAGCTGTCGCTAGTGGGGCGACTCATGATGACTTTCGCCACTTCTGCGATTCTTGATGGCTGCCGCCTTAAAACCTCCCTTCAAGTTTCGAAGCTTCAACTTAATTTGCTCCGGTCTTACAACATAGGTAATCATATATAGACTAATGTGTTGTTATTGCACTTACTCAGGGCTGTTGATAATTCTGATTGTTCAACATGGTACCACACCATACCATGCATATTATCCCATATCACAAAAGCATATCTTTGGCCAGGTCAAGGTGAATGACAATGCACATGATGTCAGACCAGAGGATCATTAACTGTTACACAAACCGTGCACAGTGTTACACTGTTTTATACATGTTTGAATAGCTTTTGTGTCACAATACCAAAACAATGCACTTTCTAGAAGCCTGCAATCATGGCAGGGGACAGTGGTGCAAACCATGGACTAGGCATGCTATGGGGCATGCATCAAACACCTGTGATGTGTTACAATAATAAGTTTGAGGGTTGGGGGGGGGGGGGGGTGTGTGTGGAGAGCTGTCAGCAATACTTCAAATTATATGCAACATTTTGGTTCCCCAAATCTTGCCCCTAAATTTGGAGCAAATGGCCTGGGGTGCTGCAAGCATGACAGCTTAGCCACCATCCCACCCCTGCCACATCCCATATGACCATCTACGGGATTCACTGGATTCTTGGTCGCCTGTGGTGTGGCATGAAGTCTTACGTCCTTGAAAAGCCCCGTCGAGACATTTCAGCCTGAACCTTCCTATATATGTTTCTAGATAGCGGGTCACCCAGCCATCCAGAAGATCCAAAATTTTAAATTTGAGGAGGATGTCTAGGAAGGCTTTGACCTCCATCCCCTCCCAGTGGTGACGTATCTGAGACGACTTGGGTGGTACTATCCTTGGGTGGTACCATGTCTGCAATCAGAATAATATCATACATGAATTATAAGACGTACACCAATTTCAGGCACATGACTTGCATGACACACACATCAATGACATGACATCAAGTCGAATACTGCTGAACACAGCTCAAACCAGCTTTCTTGCTTTTTATTGCCATCATATTGAACATGTAACTAAGTGAGGGTGCACATGCAATCATAAATTGTTTTGTGCATTTCTGCACATGAATATGGTATGGTTTTCCAAATGAAATGTCGATGAACAACGCTTAACAGTGTAACATCTACCCCAGCAATACCAAATATTTGTCAAAATATGTCATATTTGTACAATCTAAGCATTTGAGCAGACATTTGTATACCCTCAGAATAAGTTCACAACACGTCAAAATGCCAATGACATTTGCAATTTCCTTATATATCTCAAGAGCCCACAAAACAAAAGGTCTTTGTTCACGTTCCTCATTGCTTTAAGCTGGAATGAATAATCATTGCTCGGAATGCACACATTTTACAGGATTCTCATGCCATCACCGCATAAAATTGTATCAGAAGAGCCACTAGTTTAAATAATCAGCTATTATCCTATCCATCCATCCCTAAACCAAACCGTAGGTGACCGTAGACACATGGCATTAATTTGGTGAATGTGAAATATTTTGGAACGGGTACCTATCTGACCACGTTCCTGCGAACCCACTTGTTCACTCGGATACGTACGTAGCCCACAGTTATGTACTAACACGAACCTTTGTGTCTTGAAGCGTGCATGCAAGTTCTTACTCAGGCAAACAATTAAATAAGCTGAAAGATTTCGGCCCACACGCTTAAAGCACAGCCCAACACCGCGCTCCAGAACCATGCCGCGAAAAACAGATGTTAGGCGATGTAGAGGTCACGCATTTTTAAAATGATATCCCGGCAATAAAAAGCTGTTACAAAACGTGCAATCACACATCGGAACACATCAGAAACATAATTGTTCATATTATTCTTCCAAATGATACAAGAAAATCACCAAAAAATGGAAAGAAAAGTTGAAAACTTGCAGTAAAGCCTAGCATAAATCTCTAAATTCTGCACCTTTCACCTTGAAAAGAGTTATGTTCGCCATCCTGGCATATCTCGGCTGTCATATAGTTTTGTATAACGCCGGAAGTAAAATGTTGCGATATATCATTCAGAGGGACAAATAAAACGACACCGACCAATTCAGTTGACATTGAGTGTGTATTTTTGATACAATTAGGCTTTATGTGCACTTTTTGATCAGTTAGATTTAAAATCTAGTAAGCACTAGAAAATATTCTTAATAAGCTACCTACCAAAGGTAAGAGAGTTGTGCGTCGTGAACGGGGCTCATGTCAGTTTCTAGACATCAACCTTGATGCCGGAACTACACTGATCTTATTGATTGGTCAAAGCAGTTTATAACTGTACGCCAGCCCCCGCGTTGCCATGCCTCAAAGAGATGCAGACTGCTGGTGGCACGTCAACCCCGAACCCAATGCACGCCACGCCACACAGGACCCGCGCCATGCAGCGGTGGGACGGGACGTACGCTATACTGTGGTGGAATGAGACACACACCGTGCAGTAACTGGACTACGTTTTGACAAGATTTCGGCACCGGCGAAAAGTGTCCTTTTTCAGTGCGAGCAGGATTCCGTTTTCGATTTACTTGCTGCCGTTTTCAGGGACTCATGGATATTACCGTTGGTCATAACTGACATTACCGGATGTTGTCATGCAATCATATGCTTGCCACCTACGTGTGAATGGCCTCTCACACGGGTAATGCATGAATATTTGGTGACTGTTTCGTTTGTTTTCAACACCACTGTCATTTAGTTTTGTTGAGATTAGAGCCGTTCCGGCAAGTAATGGCCATGTCAGGGCTACGGGACGAGTGAGAGTGGTGAATGGGGAGGCGATACCATGACCAAGGTGGGAGACCCCGCTGACGAGCCGTGCCCCGCGCAGGGAGTTGTCTATGGGGCTTCTGCGGGCGCTCGAGCTGGAGCTCCGTCAGGCTGCACGTACGCCAGCTCTTGGGTGGCGGGGAACGTAGAGAAACAGTTTGTAATAAGTAATAAAGCAATACAAACACGCCTGCGATCAAACAATCCGTTCCGATGGCTCATTTGGTTAGAGCGCCTGTCTTCCGATTCCCTCACCCATGGCGAGGTGAGTTCGAGTCACTTTGGGCGCTCGCTGTTTGTCCGAGGCAGGTATGGCCTGCGGCCGGTGACAGCGGCCATGATAAAGGTCAGATGACGTCAGGGGGAGACGTACCGTGCCGAGTAGTGCGGCACGTTAAACTTTCGCTACTAACTTCTGTCGCTGGCATGCAATTGCGCGATCCGATGGTAGGGGTCAGGGCTCACATAACAAGCACTGCTTATCCTGAGCTGTAGGCTGTAAGCTGTAAGAAATCCATCCATTCCGAAGGCTCGGATTACATCTTTAATGAAAACAACATACGGGTAGTCTGGAAATGCCACTTTCAAGAAAGTTAAAGCATTCTTTCATGCATGAACTCAAGATTTCAACGAAAAATACCGTCAAGTACCCACAAAGGCAGTCAACACCCACCTCAGGAACTCAATAAAAATGCAACAATATGCACGCGTGCTTTGATAACATAGCCCCAACATTTTCATCATTCATCTGAATAGTTTTCCCCTACCGTGGCCTGATGCAGACCACATCAGTCGACTGTAGGGGCTACATCCTCGCCCAGCCAATATATCTCAAACCCAGAGGAGTTTAGCGGAGCATTCTCCCAGTAAAGCACGAGCTGAGCTTCTGCGCTCAAATAACGACCTTAGGCGGTACGCCACCCTCGTTAATCTTCGGCCAACAGGTCACCGACTAACGAGCCGCGAGTCGCGACTCGCGTCGCGGACGGTCCGAGCTCATCAGCGCCGATCCTGCTGTTGTGAGAGTAGCCAGCCGGTGTCAGCGGCGCACCTCCAATGTTTCCGGGCGGGGGCGGCTTCCGCAGGGAAGGAGACCAATAAATACGCCGTCCCGCGCCGGGCGGCTGCCGATCCCGCGAGTGGCCGCGAAGAGGCCGCCCGCGCCGCTGGAACGGCTGCGCTCCTCCTCGTATCGCACGACTGGCGGCTGGGTGGTGTGGCGCGGCTGGAACGGTATCGCACGCCACCAGTCGCGGGATGCTGTGGGGGTCACACTGCTATTTACTGTCCAGCCGGTGGATCCGAAGATGCAACTGCTGCAATAGCAAACCACATACTATTGGAAGTGATTCGTTTTCCAGCACTCGTAAATGAACTAACTGCCATGATGAATGCCTATGTATTGACCTAGGCGTGGCAGCACTCTCGGTCGTATGCTTATGACTGACGTTTCTTCCTTTCAAAGGCGTATGTTCCGACGACCATGGGCCATCGTGTGACGACCACGGCATACCAAATTAACACGCTTGTCTTCAAAATTAAGTTTCATCAATCTGTAATTATTTAAATAGTTGATGCAAATCACCAGGTTGTGCTGTTACCATTGAGCTATGAGACAATATGTGAGAGATAACATTTGAAAACAAATCTTCTCATGGCTGAAATTGTTCGCTTGGATTTAGGTGGCACTTGATGTGCGTGATGTCTGGTGGTCGTGACATTTCCTGCTATGTTTCAATCCATTTCAAAAATACCTTGGATGGACCGGGGCTGGCTGTTCAGGCTGCTGATGGCGGCCTCCTAACCGGGCGGTGTGCAGCTGGGCCGACTGATCGAGCTTGGTCCGCGCTGTTTGCGCTGGCACGGGAGCCTGGTGCACTTGGCGCTGGGGCGGAGGAGCCGCAGCTGGTGCTGCGGGTGCGTCCCGTCCGCCGCGCCGTCACAGCTGCCGCGCGGCGCGCGCGCGCGCGCGCGCGAAGAGAGAGAGAGAGAGAGAGAGAGAGAGAGAGAGAGAGAGAGAGAGAGAGAGAGAAGAGAGAGAGAGAGAGGATCTTACAACTTTGGAAGGGGGGATCGGGGCTTTACAACGCACTCAGCTGCTGGGGCTAAATGGCGTCGACACTGGCAAGAAGGGCGGGCACCGCGGAGAATCGAACCCCGTACCTCTGGTTTCCATAAATTTGGAGGGATACTCGAAGTCTGTCCTCTCCGTTGACGGGGTTTGTATGGTACCTCATGAAGCCAGACGGGCAGTTGTA